AGGGAACGGAAGGTTTTCGTCTTTGCGTTTTCTTCTTCAAGGCTGGCTTGGCGGTGTGAGATTGGCACGTGGAGATATGTGACTTAAAGGGGATAGGAGGAATGGAAGTTGGGCGCTGCTAACCACATGAGAGGTGAGCGACGGGAGGGCGAAGAGAGAGAAAGGGGTGGGGGGAGGGGCACATGGCCTGGGGGACAGGTGTAGCGCGGAAGATATCGTTCTCTGAAAGGAAAGAAAAGGGTTCGGGAGAGAGACGTGTCGCAGTGCTCCGCCACGCCCGGACGGAGTCCTCGTGGTGTGGTGCCGGCGCGACCGAGGCGCAGTGCCCGAGGCTACGTTGGGTCCGGGTCCGAAATCGGTCCGCGGCCCAGGGGGAGGAAAGGGGACGCGCGGCGGCGGAGGGCAGGCGGGGCAGAGGAGCCGGGGGCGCCTCGGGGGGCCGGGCGGAGCCACAGGCGGAGCCACGTGACGTGGGCACGCGAGGGGCCGTCCATTGTCATGCATCATTTGGGAATCAAATTAAGCGACAGCAGACGGCGCCGATTAAAACGCGGCAGGGGACAAGAAGAGGCTCTTGGCCGCCCTGGAGCGGGCGGGGCGGGCGCGGCGGCGTCCAAACAGAGCGACGGGGGGACGCGCACCTGCCGCACGGCCGCCGCGACACCGCCCGGGGCCAGGGCCCTTCTCTTTCAGCCGCCCAAGCACGCGCGCGAGCTTTTCCTGTGGCCGTGGGTGGGGATTATATTTTTCATACGCCAGCAGGGCCCGCGGGCAAACGAAGAGCGAATCGTTTGGAACACCCGCCCCGCTGCGAGGGTTGCGGAGGCGTCAGCGTATAAAGTTACCCCAACAGAGCAGCTCTCGCGCGCTATCCCCCCTGGTTGCGCTGTGGTCACGGGGGAGGAGCGACCTCTGGCAGCCACACCTAGACCGGAGCCGCGTGTCCGGTCCGGCTCGGCGGGGGCGGCCGGGGCGGCTCCATTGAGTGGGTACAGCACATCAAAGTGATCGCCCCCCCCCCCCTCTTTTGCCCGGGGAGTCCCCCCCGCCTGGTCCACCGCCCGCTTCGCTTGCTCCGTTTGCTTCACTTGGCCCGCTTACCTTGGCGCCCCAGCCCTCCCCTTTGTATCATTCCATTGCTGGCCCCACCCCTCACCCCCCAGCACCCCACAGGCAGACCTGGATCCGAACGTGGATCGGAAATAAAAAAAGGGTGATGGCGGTACGCTAGCAAGCTAAGATCGCACGATGAATGAACGAATAGGTAACATTTACACTTTCAGCACTGATTTTACTTACAGTCAGGGGTTGAAGTTGTGAACCGAGTTGGACGAGGGCAAGCCGCCAGCCTGAGACCCAGCAGCTGTTTGACCACCGAAGGCCCGAAGGCGTGTAGCAGGGTGTGGAGGGGCGTGGCGGTGGCAGTGGGAATTGCACACACGGGGGCGGTCCTCACGTCCGCCAGAGAGCGGCCGGCGCAGTACCTCGCTGTAGTACCGAGTGCGGTAGCTTCGCAGCAGGAGAGAGGGGGGAAGGGGAGGGGGAGGGAGTCGTCTTTCTCCCGGAACATCCTAGAGCCCGCGGAGGTTGTCCACTAAAGTGTCGCCTTGCCCGGCACCAGCGGCTGCTGGCTGTGCTTCTCGATCGTATTTCCGGCTCTGGTGCCCCTTGCCCTGCCCCGGCCGCCTCGCCCCGCCCTGGCCGCCCCCACCCCTCCTCCCCCATCCCACGCTGCTCAACCCTGCCCCGCAGCGCCGCGCCCGGAGCGCCGGAACGGTATACCTTTGAAACGTCACCCCCGCGCTTTTGACAGCGCCGCGCACCGCCGCGCACGGGCAGCAGGCCGCCCCGCGGACAGCAGTGCGGCGCGGAGGAGATCAAGTCGAGAACCAACGAGGGGCCGCGCGTTCCACAGGTAAGTAAATAATGGGGAGGGGCACACGCGATTCTTGGGAGTGTTTGGAATGAATCAAACATTCCGAAGCATGTAAACAATAACCCGTTGCACATGGGAATGTATGCGTTGTTGATTTGCTCTAGTGTACAAAACATTGCAAGCCGTGTATAGTGGCAGCGGCGGTGGCTGGAGCGCCGTACTTCAGTGCGATGATTAAGAAGTGGTCGCGGATGAGGTGCAGCAGTGGGCGCGCCCTCCGGGTGAGGGGGAGGGGGGTGGGGG